AATAATCTAACAGCCTTGCGGATCATGAAGCGTCAACAGGCTTTAGATTGTCTTCCGTCGCAATGTAGGAGTATTTACGAGGGTCTCAGAGCTACAGATAAGCTGCGTTTTTGCGTAAAATACCCTCCAAACTATTCAAAACCAAATTATTTTCAATTAACTTGCGTACAGAAACGCATGCATTAAATGGAAAACTCATTTGTTTGAAAACATCACGCATGAATACCCAATGAAGCTTTTTCGGCAAGCAAGAACGGAGCTAATTTACGAAACACATTTACGAGCTAATTTACTTTCCGAGTCAAGCCTACATTTAGAACCATTATATTACATCCAAAACTTTACTTCCTTTTTTTAAAATCTCAAAATGTTTACTCATTTTGGGAAAAACCCAAAAGAGTGATGAACAGATGAGTGAACAAATATTGGTTACCCATTGACAAATGTAATAACCCAATAAAAATAGATATGTCGAGTAAAAACTCAATTGCTTAAAAAGTTACCTAGAGCTTCTCCGGCCTGTTGATATGTTCGGAGCTTCACATAGACCTAAAGACATTTGAGCATGTTGGAGGCACTTGCTCCCATTCATAGTCCTCTTGGGTGTCCATTAGGTTGTCCACTGTTGCCAAGACCTCATCGTTTGATTCGAAATGGATTCAGGATGGAGCTTTTCTTCGGTTTTGGAAATGGGAGAATATGATGGGTGTTCAAAGTTCAAAGCCATACTCGTGGATTGCAGCCATGGCTACGACTGATTTGTGCACTGGCGCATTGCCCTTATGCAAGAGCACACTCTCAGTTTGACCCATCTCTTAATTGTTTACTGTAATTGCATCAAAGCTGCAGCATAACTCCTTCCGTGTATTGTCTTTTGGAAGATGATGACACCCTCGGCATCCCAGAACACGGAGATCATTTCCTTTCCACTGATGGGATAGTCTTTGCATTCATTGGTAAAAAGTTTCTGGATCAGCTTCAAACGGAGCTAGATTATCACGATACCCGTAGGACTGACTGTTACAGGGTTCCCCCTAGACACCAATATCTGAGAGTCACCTTGACTCAGCCTATGCATTTTTGGGAGTCAAAAATATTTTTTGAGAGTCAAATGTTTTATTGTATGATAAATGAAATTTAAAGTGTTCACTGTTAATTTTACACTTAAAGTCTTTAGTTTAAGTTGACAAGTACTAGTCAGTGTACTCAGCTGATTGTACCACAGAGAAATAAAGGATATATGAATGAAAATCAAAGTTTGTTGGTTTTATTTTTTCACTATCTTTAATTATTTCACAGATCATAAAACAATTTAAAGTAACAGTAATGTCAGGACGAAAAAATAACATCAGTCTTAACTATTAAAATAAATTTCATGTTTAGATTATGATATAATATCACCAACTCATTCATTGATCAGTGAAGTTGAACTGAACTTGTGAAGCATTATCACATTTGTGTTAAATAGTGCTCAGTAGTATTTAACTACTACATGTACTAGTATCTTGGTCTACTTTCTCCTTTCTCTTGTTTGAAATAGTTCGACAGCTTTTCCAAAGTCAAATTGTGTCACTCGTGGCGGTCCTTGTAATCTTATGAACATAAGTCTGTTGAGTCAGTCGATTGCGTACAGGATTCTTTATGGCATTCTGAACACTGAACCCCCTCTCACAGGGCGCTGAAGAAACAGGTATAATGCACGCTAATATAGCTAGCTTCACAAAATCAGGATATGTATCTGCATCATCTCTGATGAGATGTTTACACAGTTGGTCAAAAGTAAACACACCCTTGTAGCCTCTAACATAATGTTTAAACAAGAGGAACTGGTTCAAGGCTCTGTCCCTCTGTAAAAGTTCTCCATAGTTTTCCAAAAGCTTCTCAAGCTGTTCCTGACCATAGGTGACAAGATCGTCTGGATATCTTGAAGGGTTGAGAAGCATGTCAAACGCTCCAAGATATCTAGATCATCTTGAGGGAACCTCTCTGACAGTTTATTCTTAAGAGATTTAATGTAATTGACACGAAGAGAATTAAACCTGTCTCTCATTGGGCCATTGTCAACTACCTCCACATTTTTGTAATTCGTCTTCTGCCCCTGTTGTGGAGCGCCTAGGTCTTGAAGGACAGTATTGACATGGTGTGATCCCTGTTTCATGGTTTCCAATGTCTCCATCGTTGCATTCACACAGTGTCTAACCGCAGACAAATTGACTTTGTCCTTTTGGAATATAAGGCTTAAAATCCCAATTACGGACAAGACATCTAAGAGTAAAGCCGTTACAAGAATGAACAAGGAGCTAGCCATGAAATTATGTAAGCCAACTGCTTTAGGATCTCGCACTGCATGTACATCTTCCAATGACATAATAATGGCATCATATGTCTGCATAATCATTTTCACTGCTGCTTCCACTGATAACCATCTTAGTGAGGTAGGTTCTTGAACCTGTCTTCTGTTACCATGTAACAGGTCTTGCCGCTCTCGTAGTTTATCATACTTCACAGAAGAATCTGTATAATATCTGTATAAGATGCCGATGTGTCTGTGATAGTCGTTTAGGTAGGGGACATCACGAGCTGCTTGTGATGCCGCTAAGTTTAATCTGTGAGCTGCGCAATGGACCTGCACCAATTTGGGATTTCTTCTTTTCAGCCTCGCCCCCAACCCATTTAATCGCCCAGTCATGACAGCGGCACCGTCTGTGCCAAGGCCCATTACTCTGTAGAAATTGTCATTGTTCTCATTTACTAGATGTTTTCTGTGAAGAAATTCGATCAGACTTTCCTCTATCCCTGCAGCAGTACAATCATGAACGTGTTCATTTCCAGCAAAACCAACCTTAACTTCGCCAGTGTTTACATCAACGTATCTAACATAGATAGCAAGTTTTTTTTCTACATTCACATCACATGTTTCATCTAGCATGACACCAAAGAAGGGACTGTCTCGGATAGCTTTGATTTGATTTTTTTCTAGCACATCAAACACACACTGTTCCATCTCGTCAACAATTCCGTGCTTTCTGTAAAAATTGTTGCAATTGCTAATCCCGTTTTCAACTTGCATTTCCATCAAATCTCCAAATGCATCTGACGAAATGTTACGTTTTGCCATCACATAAACAGTTCTTAGTTGTTTTACATGTGATTCGGTTTGTGCATTTCTATTGTCTTCCACAACATTCTGTACGTTTGCTTTCGCGGTTTCAAATTGTCTTTGCAATTCTAAAATCTTAATGGAATCAACATGATCTTTCGACTGTTCATGGCGGGTGAGAGTTGAATGTTGGTAATTTGTGCAGCCTTGCACAAAAGGATTGTTTTGTTTTGCATTCAAACAAATGTCACATGTCATTCCACCTGTCCCACGCTCGTATCTTAGCCACAAGAATTTTGACAGCCATTCCGTCCGGAAAACGCGACATACTTTCGGTTTCTTTGGACTAGCCGCTTCTGTGTCACTCACAGTACTTGAATTGCTTTTATCGCGTATCTCTTCCGTTTTCTTTGAAGACTTTTCATTCATGTTTTCTCTAAATTTGAGAAATTGTCCCAAACCAAGTTGTTTCTTTTTGTCGGCCATCGCGACACACAGAACTGTCAAACACAACGAATGTATTGTCCCCTCTGGGAAGCAATGGTTCAACCAATCAATAGCGCTAAATATTACTCTCTAGAGGGGTCAATGGCTTAATTTAGAATTGATATTAGGCCGGGGAAATCCCAAATAGCGAATCGACGTTGCGTTTTAACACTTGTAATATTTTCTGGTTGAATACAGTTTATTAGCAACAAAAAACACGCCCGAAGCTTTGTATTTAGTATATACCATATTTATTAGGGGCAATTAACTTCTGGATAAAATATGTCTCGTGTACAATACACGCAGGCTTTAGAATCATTTCAGGCGGAAATAGCATAACAAATCCGAATTGAATTACGCAAGTTAATCTTGGTGTTACACTATATCTGGTAATAAGAATGTGTTCTCTGTATATCTGACATTATGTTTGTCATCTATTATATAAATTTTATTTAAAATTTCATTCGATAATGTTTACCTAACCTTCGGCAAAATCGTGTGTCCCTATGATACTAACAACTTCCATTTACCCCGTTCCATAGGGTCCGCTTAACCACATACCATGACCGCATTACTCATCACACATTATTCACAGCACCAATGTTAATATTTTATTCTTTTTCGTTCTTACGAGTCTACACATGTAGATAAACATGTGAGAAAATATGCCCAAACGTAAAAAAAAAATCCATTTGCGTAGTTTTCCTTTGATTAGTATACATCACGTGCTGTCATCGAAGCCACACGATGTGTGAGTGTTACGATCACTTTAATGAACAAATATATTTTGTCGTGTATCTCACAGTCGCAAAGTTGTGTAGCATATCTATACAATTATGTGATACAATATGTAAAGCCCCCGTCTGTTCTGATTTTAGCGTTTGTCTAGAAACGAGAGAAAAGTCTGGTCATGTGATAGGCTATGCAAATTAGCCCGCGGCAGCGGTGATTTGCGAAGTTATGTTATTTCTAAAAACGACGATTAATTAAAAACAAGACATAACTTTTAAGACAATATGTTGTCTACGGAAAATGTTTATGAATAAGTTCAGGTAGGTAGTTGTAATATTTACAATCCAAAGCTGATAAACAAGAACCAGAAACCATATGCCGAGCGGATATTTTTTAATTGCGTCAGTCACGACGCAGTCATTTATTTCTGGACGTATTTTTCCTTAATTGAGAGTCAAATACGCAGGAATCCTGCGTCAGGGGAAACCCTGCTGTTATGTGGGAGCAAGGAGTAGCGAAACAAGTCTGTTGTCCCACATTAGTTTTAGAAAGATATATTGTCGTGAACCTTGAGAAAATATTAATTATTTCCAGTATGCTTTGGGAACGATATTTCTTTAAACAACCTTTGAATAGCAAATGGTCGACACCGTCCACTGATGTTCTTCTGTGTTTGATCTAGGTGGCACTGTAACGGTCATTTGCCTGGGAATGATCCTGGTGACCTTCACCTTGAAGTCTTCATCAAGGTCAAGAACGCAATTAAACGAGGTTCAGGAATACAAGAGGCGGGTAGCGGAATTAGAGATACAGCTGGAACAGGCATTGAAACAGATTCCATTTTCCACAACATCAACGACAACACCTAAACCTTGCCGCGATGATTTTAAAGAAATCTTTGAGAGAGAGAAGCGATATATATGTTCTCACGTGCAAGGCGGACTGGGAAACTTCATGTTTGCATACGCCTCGGTGTACGGAATGGCCTCAAAGGTCAACAAGTCGGTGGTGATCCAAAAGGATAACCCTCTCTTGAAGTACTTCCGGGTTAAGGCCAACGTTGTCAATGACCTTTGTATATGCAACACCGCGAAATTTGTCAACGAGGGTCGGCATTGCCAGTTTAATAAGGATTTGCTGAACTTGAGTGAAAATACAAATTATCGGCCTGGCTGGTATTTTCAATCATGGATGTACTTCCGACATGTTGCAGAGGAGATACGCCAACAGTTCAAGTTCAAAGACGATGTGCGTCAGAAGGCCATCAGTTTAATCAAGGTAATTTGACAAAATCTTTCTTTCAGAGATACATGTGCTACATAAAACTGTTTGTGGAAGGCAGATTAACGTTAAGTTCCATCACTTATGATATCAGTAGTGTGCGAGAGTATCTCTCGCAGTAACTGCGACCATGCTTTATATTCTGTCTAAAGGGGTAGGTCTCGCAGTGACTTGATGTCAATCACTAGATTGTCTGGTCCGGACTCGATTATTTACAGACCGCCGCCATATAGCTGGCATATTGCCGAGTGCGGCGTTAAACAACAAAACAAACAAACAAAACCATCTAATACAAAACTGATGACACCTCGATCTAATTTATTTCTGCAGTTGTAGCTTTGTATAAGGAACCAGCACAGAGGGAGGAAGACACGAGTTCTGCTCAATAAATGTACCCTACCCTCATTTTAACATAAGTCCGACTTTAGTGAGATGTCAGTTGGGTACCGTGATGTCAGTTTGTTTGAGGGATGTCAATTAAGTTGTGTGATGCTAATTGGGTTCCTAAGAAAGTCCCAAAAGAAAATATCCTACATTGTTCATCGTTCTTTTATAAAGAACACACACAAATCGGAGCTTTAAAATTTACAAAGTCTATGGGTCGTTTGTCCAACCAAGCACCTGTACACTTGAATTGTAACAAGACGAGCTTTTGAGTATTGTCTAGTTCTGTGTTCCACAATATGGCCTAAACCTTCTCCTTTGATGTTGTTTGTCTGTTTTTTGGTTTGTTGTTTAACGCCGCACTCAGCAATATTCCAGCTATATGAAGGCGGTCTGTAAAACACCGAATCTGGACCAGACAATCCAGTGATTGACATCATGAACTTTGACGCTTGCATGTATTTATTTGCTCATTCCATGGACACCTACTTCCCCTTTGATGATATGTAGGTGTCCATGTAATGAGCAAACAAATACATGCAAACGTCAAAGCATATGTTAGGAGAAAACATCATATCACATGACGCTGGCACAGTGAACCCCTGCAGTCCGGACCCTGTCATTGTACATGACCGATGCTGAGATCATCATTTAAGTAACCATGTACCAAATATTCATAAATTCATAAATTATTTCTGTTTGTTAGTTGTTTAACGCCGCACTCAACTATATGGTTGGTTGGTTGTTTAACGCCGCAGTCAGCAATATTCCAGCTATATGACGGCGGTCTGTATATAATCGAGTCTGGACCAGACAATCCAGTGATTAATTTCATGAGCATCGATCCACGCAATTGGGATCGATGACATGCATCAATCAAGTCAGCGAGCCTGACCACTCGATCCCGTTAGTCGCCTTTTACGACAAGCATAGTCACCTTTTTCAGCAAGATGGGTTGCTGAAGACCTATTCTACCCCGGAATCTTCACGGGTCTCAACTATATGACGGTGGTCTGTAAATAATCGAGTCTTTTTAGGAGGGACAATACTTTAGTTTATGGCCAATCCTCTGATTTGTTCTTGCCAAGAGGAAATAGATTTCATGACACGATCAGTCAAGGCAGTCGGTCCACAATTGCATACAGTTGCATGCAAGAGCCGGATAACATGAGTAGGTAAAGTAATGACAGCAGAAGGATAATACTGCAACAACATGATGGACTATGAACACATAGGTGGAACCCAAAGAGACATGAAGCCTATGAAACAAGATAAGTTTTACATAGGCGTGGTGGTTATTGTTTAATGAGTACATAGTAGGTGGATGGGATCAAATCACCTTGATTTCTGTTGATTGAAGGCCTGTGGTGGCGAATGTGGACTGCTTCTGTTACTTTTCTTTATTTACAGACCACTGTTCGGAATATTGCTGAATGCGGCGTTAAACAACAAAGAAAGAGAAATCTATGGAATCCGATTTTGCCCTTACGAAACCCAAACAGACCAGATTAACCAAAGCGTGACATCGCAACAATGCGATGTTTTACAAATTGTTACGTTGCCCTATTGACGCGCTTTTATTGAGATGTTTGTTTCTTTCAAAAATGCGATATTCCTATCTAAGATTATATTGTTATATGACGCTGTTGGCTCAATGGGAACAATAGGAACTGTATAATTCTTTGTCGAGTTTTTTTTATCCTCAGGCTGCACCTTTTTCAATGTTTAAATTTACGGTTCCAGCAACCCGTATCTGAAAACAATCTGTTGATTTTTTAATACTCTAACGCTCTGTGTGTATAAAGTTCCGAAAACTTATACTGCTGATTAAATAGAAAACAAATCAAACTATATATACTGAACCAATTAAAAACTTCACAAACCTAAAATTTTAACATTTTGACCAGTTTTCATTGTGGGCCCTTATTGTGTATTTAAACAGTAAAGGCCACGTATTGGGTACCACGTATTGTCTTCAGATAACACCCGTTTTTGTGCAGGTGAATCGATCAATATCATGTGCACAGCACTTTAGTAGCAAAAGTGTTTTTTCACGTGCAACTGGTCACGTGGCCATAATACCGCACGTGTTTTCAGCCATACTTGTAAGCAGTCATTAACAAAAAAAGTAAAACACAAGGAAACAAAAGTCTTTACGGCCATTTGTCATGCCACGCCTTTCAAATGTGCAACGTGAACGTGCCATCGGCATGTTGCAGACGGGAACGTCTGTAGCTGAGGTCGCAAGGACGATGGGTTGTAGTACACGGACTGTTTATGATTTACAGACGCGCCTACAGCAAACGGGTACCACCGCCGATCGCCCTCGGCCAGGTCGACCACGTGTGACGTCACATGCAGAGGATCGTCAGATTGTCTTACGTCACCTCCGTAACCGATTTTTGACGGCTACATCAACCAGAAATGAACTGTTTAGGGGTAGACTGAGTGCGCAAAATGTTCGAAACCGTCTGAGAACTGCTCACCTTCAAGCACGACGGCCATACTGCGGGCCGATTCTGACTCAATTACACAGACGTCAACGTCAATTTTGGGCACAGCGACACTTACGATGGACTCAGAGAGTTGGAATCAAGTCGTCTTCATTGATGAATCCCGATTTAATCTTCGATTTGCTTATGGTAGGGCGAGGGTGTGGAGGCGCCGCCATGAACGTTACGCCCAATGTAGTGTACAGGAAGTCGACAGATTTCGAGGCGGAAGTGTCATGGTGTAGGGTGCTTTCAGTGGCAATGCACGTTCCAGGCTTCTTGTCATCCGTGGCAACCTCAACGCTGCTGCTTACCGCGACCAGGTACTGGCACCAGAACTTCTGCCTTTTATGGCAGCACATGGACCCGGTTTGATCTTCCAACACGACAATGCCAGACCCCACACAGCAATTTTGACAAGGAATTTCCTTCAGAATGCGGGAGTCAACGTCATGGACTGGCCGTCAAGGTCTCCTGACCTCAATCCCATTGAACACGGAACAAATTATGGTTACCACCGTTAATTAAAATCCTTCTTTGGACATTAATAATTAAAAATTACCTTCTCTGATACATTTGTCCGTTGTATATCATATATGGGATTACTTTTAAAAATGTATATATTCCATGTAATGAGTACACATACAACATGATACTTCACCCTGGGACATCTCAAACAATTATTGTTGAAGTTTCCATGGAAACAAATGCACATGACACTGCTAAATGTGATAAGAAAATGTATAATAATGATCTTTAATATATGTATTTTTTTAATTGTTCACGACTGACCATTAAACAAATATCTCTACCATCTGTCTTTACATCAAATTCTTGATTAACACTCTCCCTATACATATAATGCCTTAAGATAATGGGTGGGGTCTGTTGGATGGGTGAGTGGGTGGCGGCGTTAAATGGAGTGATCAGCATGTTTGTCCAAAGCAAAATCATTTAAAAAGCAAAACTGAAAAAAACATTGAATATTCTTTCAATAAGCCCCACTTACGTACACCATTTTTGTAGCCTTGGTTTGGTTTTAAGTGCATCACTGCACACGCACGCGCGCTTAAACACACACACAATCACACACACCCATCTATATTTGCCAAGATACGAACCTTTCGTTAATAGTCTGAAATCCGTTTTTAGTATTACCCGCTAGCGCGGCCTGACTTTCCTCAGCCGGACTTCTGGCAATCCCAATACATTTAGTCCAAAACTGTTGTTTGCGCTGAGGTTCACTACCTCGCACAACTATGAATAAGCAACACAGAGTCAAAGGATGTATTCCTGTTTCAGGGCAGTAGAGAAGCATTTGTTAACCGACAAAGAGGCAGTGACCATGACAACGTGACGATTGTGGGCGTGCACGTGCGTAAAGGGGATATCACCAAGAACAAGCAATTTGTTGCTTACGGATATACGGTTGCCTCCCCGCAGTACTTCTCCGCAGCAATGACGTATTACAGGAACAAATACAACAGAACCTTGTTCCTGGTGTGCTCGGATCACGTCACGTGGTGTAAGGAGAACATTAACGGAAGTGACGTCATGTTTATGGAAGATAACTCATTCGAAGTAGATCTAGCTATATTAGCTCACTGCAATCATTCCATAATGTCCGTGGGAACATTCGGCTGGTGGGCCTCGTTCCTGGCTGGAGGGGAGACAATCTACTACAAACATCCGGCCAGAAACGGAAGTAGTTTAAGGAAGCAGTTTTCAAAGGATTACTCGGATTTTTTCTATCCTGGGTGGATAGGAATGGAGTGATTAACCACAACGTGCACGGATACGTGTGTGTTTGAGTGTGTGGGGTCTGTGTGTGTGTGATAGTTGGTGATTATGGTGCAGTGTGTGAGGTTGGTAAACTATGGTGCAGTGTGTAAGGTGAAGATCCGGGGTAGAAAAGGTCTTCAGTGACCCATGCGGAATCGGAATCGGGTGGTCAGGCTCGCTGACTTGGTTGATGCATGTCATCGTATCCAAATTGCGTGGATCGATGCTCATGATATCAACCAGTTGGTAGTTTATAGTTGGTTGGTTGTGGTGCAGTGTGTGGGGTTGGTGGATGTCCATTGGTAGTTTATAGTTGGTTGATTGTGGTGGGATGTGTGGGGTTGGTGGATGTCCATTGGTAGTTGATCAATAGGATGCACCAGCTTGTGTAACAGCAATGAAAGATAGAAGCAATAAACACTATATTTAAGGCTACTATGATAGTAGAATGTACATTTACGAACTTATAGAGTAGCCCGTTTTCGATTTCGTTGTAGCTGACATGATTTATTTGTTGAAACAGGTACATTTGTTGGTATTTTAAGAGAACAAAGACTGTGAAGAAAAGGTTGTATTAAAGAGGAATATCACTTTCTATGTGTATGTCCAATGATGTAATCAGGAGGGTTTTATCGATAAAACACGCCCTACTTCGCGGAAAGCACGTTTAACTTGTGAAGACCTTGTTAATGATTGGGACAGTGTAAAACGTGTCGTGGAATACTCTCACACAACTGTACTACTTACAATTATTCAGAAATATTGAAATATAATGTTGCCATTACAGGCTCAAGTTATATTGTACAATAACTGAAGTTTTGTAAGCATTGTTTGTATTTCATTGTGCAACCTGCACGTGTCAAATGTCTGATGGAACAGAAGTTTGTGAATAAACAGGCTGAATTTGTATTGTATTTTTTGTTCGTTTATTTGGATATTCCTTAATATCAGAAGTTTGTAAAATAATATCAATGGGATTGTACAGAAATTTGTCTATGTTCCTTTGTCATGCTACGAAATTTTGTAACACACCCCAGTAACGTGGTAAGATTGTGAAGGGATAAGATGGTAGAGTGGAAAGATGGTACTATGTTGATTTGTCATGCTACGAAAGTTGAAAAAGATGGTAAACTAGTAAAGGGGCAAGATGGTAAAGTGGACCACGGAGGCGGTAAAGTGGTAAGATGATGGAGGGGTAAGAAAGTAAAGGTGTAAGATGATAAAGTGGAAATGTGGTGAAGGGGAAAGATGGTAAAGTGTTCATATGTTAAGGGGTAAGATGGTAAAGTGGTAAGATTGTGAAGTTGTAAGATGGTAAAGGAGTAAGATGAAAAAGAAGTAAGATGATCAAGTTGTAGGATGGTAAAGGAGAAAGATGGTAAGGGGGTAAGATGGTGAAATGGTACGAAGGTGAAGTGGTAAGATTGTAGAGGTGGTGAAGTGGTCAGATGGTGAAGAGGTAAGGTGGTAAACATAATGCACCCTTCCACATTCAAAACGTTGTATTGATACACTCTGTACACGCCTGTAAATCCTTGTGTATCTTTGTGACTCCATGACAATACACGTGCTGCCGTTTGAGCTGCAATTAGTTCATTTGTATTTCAATGTATGTACAGCACACATACGATAAATTTGCATGCTAATAAGCAACACTTCACAACTGTCTCTTATGTCACGAATATCAAATACAACACTGGTGGCCATGTGCTTCACGTCGTGATATGACTGGAATACTGTTAAAAGCGGCGTTAAACCAAACTCACTCACTCACTCACTCACCATGTGCTTCACGCCGTGATATGACTGGAATACTGTAACAAGCGGCGTTACACCAAACTCACTCACCCACTCACTCACCATGTGCTTCACGCCGTGATATGACTGGAATACTGTTACAAGCGGCGTTAAACCAAACTCACTCACTCACTCACTTACTCACCATGTGCTTCACGCCGTGATATGACTGGAATACTGTTACAAGCGGCGTTAAACCAAACTCACTCACTCACTCACTCACCATGTGATTCACGCCGTGATATGACTGGAATACTGTTACAAGCGGCGTTAAACCAAACTCACTCACCCACTCACCCACTCACCCACTCACCCACTCACCATGTGCTTCACGCCGTGATATGACTGGAATACTGTTACAAGCGGCGTTAAACCAAACTCACTCACTCACTCACTCACCATGTGCTTCACGCCGTGATATGACTGGAAAACTGTTACAAGCGGCGTTAAACCAAACTCACTCACTCACTCACTCACCATGTGCTTCACGCCGTGATATGACTGGAATACTGTTACAAGCGGCGTTAAACCAAACTCACTCACCCACTCACCCACTCACCCACTCACCCACTCACCATGTGCTTCACGCCGTGATATGACTGGAATACTGTTACAAGCGGCGTTAAACCAAACTCACTCACTCACTCACTCACCATGTGCTTCTCTTACTGTCTCCAGAACAAAACAAGCTGCAGATATGGGTATGTTCAGGGATGTTGAACTGAACGGTCAGATATTCAGTAGTGTACGCCCCGTGTGAATGCCTTCCACGTCATGCCTTGCACGCCATTAAAGCTTCGTTCCGACTGATCATTCACAAGTTACCACAGCTACAGGTTGTCAAAAGTGTTCGGGAGACAATTTATCATTAAGTTTTGGATTGATAACGACAAGTACAGGCGTACATTATACGGTGGAGAGACCGATGTATCAAACCTTCAACGGCAAAGGCGGCATTTCCAAGTGTTACACCAAGAGTTCCCGCCGAGTGTCGGCCAAGAGTGTTTGTTTGCCCGCGAGTGTTTGAGAATAGCCTAGATATGTTGACACAGTCTCGATTAAAATTTTCAAAAACTGAACAAACGAATAATTCTGAATGTCTTATATATGGTTGCGATTGTATGGCAGTACTTCCCACGTAGTGTGCAACGCCTCCTCGACTCCGTTCAAATGTTCATCGCACGGAAGCGAAAGAGAATTTTGACGGAATCAGTCGTACTACGGGCCGAAACTGTCATACCCCGTGTTAACGTTTTCCAGGTTGCATGATTAGAAAACACATTCCGACTGTCACTTTCATGATCTGGTAAGCGACGCTTTGATTGGTCGGATGAAAGGTCGTTCTGACGTGATCAGTAATGGGATAGCTAGAACTAAGATCTGATTTTAATGAGATTGGACCCCTCCCTTTTAAAAATGTTTGATCCACCGTTGCACCGCCATCCAAGGCGTAGCTGTACCTCAACTATGAGGGGTGAACTCGGGGATGAGTGGAGGAGTTGGTTGATATTTATTTGACGACATAATCCCCGACCTCCACACGCTTCTGCCATTGATGCCAGAGTGCGTGGATCCCACTGGTGCAGAAAACTTCCCACTGGTGCCATAAAAACGTTCCACAGCACAAATGACATCATCGTGCTTGTCAGACAGTTCTTTCTTCCAACACAACAGGCCTATACACAGGCGCACTCTCCCGGTGAACAACAACATACCTTTAGTGAGTTTTCCACGACGATTAACCTTGATGTTCTCACGCCGATGCATACGCAGATTGACATCTAAAACAACTTAAGTGTGAAAAAAAACGACTTAAAGAATAATTTTAGTTTGTTATGAATACCTCCCCAGACCTGTCCTCAATGGGTGTTAAAGCCGCTCTCGACAAACATGGACTGATACATGTGCTACATGTGTTTTCCATAAGCATTTGTTGTTTTTTTTACTTTTGTCATGTTTTAGAAATTGGTTCGAACAATATACATATATTAACATTTTCACATGAATAAAAAATGAACATATTTTGAACTTGCGATCAAGCTTGCAGTAAACGTGAATTTATTACATGCCAAACTGAACATGACTGAGCAGATCATTGTTGATAGATTGTGCCAGGAGACTGGTGGAAGGACACGCGAGTAACAGACGGGATTTTACGTGCGCATCAAGTGTTTATCAATCGAAAGGGAACGGTTAAAGGAGGGGGGTGCACACTTATTTTTGGTTTGTTTGTTTGTTTGTTTAACGCCGAACTCAGCAATATTTAGCTTTATGACGGCGGTCTGTACAATAATCGAGTCTCGACCAGACAATCCAGTGATTGACACCATGAGCATCGATCCATGCAATTGGGATGCGATGACTAGACCAGTCGATATAAGTTTTACTGTAAACAAATTGCAACGATGCAAAGCTATGTATTTCATAACTAACATTTCACAAACATAGGAACTAGTAGTTACGGGAAATGTTTTTTGAGCACAGAAGAAAATCTTATTTTGGTTCTTCTGGATCAAATCGCCAGCGTTGTCTGTCATACATACCAAGGGAGGCAAAAGTCACTCACTCATCAGTTAGGGCATTAAACCACATCAGCGGGCCAATATTTCAGGTTTTAAACTCAGGAAGGCACTGCTTGTTCCTAACAAAGAAAACAAAAGCTAAGGATAATTTTCATTTCCATAAACCAGTCTATGCATATACCATTCTATGAATATACCATTCGATATACCTGTAAAGTATACCATTTCACTCGCAATTGTCGCAGTCTGGACCAGAGTAGATGTTTTTGTGGACCTTGAGCGCCTTCCGTGGAAGGCGCCCTATGAATATTCATGAGCCTAGTTTTATGCTAATAGACATGCATGACGTCACAATGAGAACGGGGTCATTATGCATGAATGTTAAGAATGTGAAGAATGTGGCCTTTGTTAAAATGGCTCAGCCTAGGAATTCTTTAGGAATGCCAGCTATTTGGAATGTAGTCGGGGTAGATATCTTCAAATACATACTAGAATGTCACCCTATCGTAAAAGGGTAAAACAGTCCTCGATCTCTTGATATAGCTACACAATGAATACGTAGAATGTCATCATCGAGACAAAGAGGAGAATGTACTCATTCACGCTTTAATCGTATGGTACATCTGTTCTGTTATGGAATGTTAAGAATGGGTATGGAACGTCTGAAATGTTATACCACGTCTGTTTTTTTATGGAATGTTGTTGAATGTCTGGAGTGTCAAAACTGTCAAAACTGTCCTAACGCACCTAATTTATTATAGAATGTCGGGAATGCGTATCCCCAGTTTCAGTGCACAGATATATTCAACAAAAGCTATGTACGTGAAGAAAACTTAAAGCTGATGAAGACATCGAGCAGTTATCTAAGTATTTGTCTATCATCTTCCTTTTCCATCACATGCAACACTGTCCCCATCTTCCCGAAGCAAGGGAGTTAACTGACTTTAAAAGTCCAGTTTCCACCCTTGCCGAACTAGGCTGTAATTCCTGGGCTCGATCGTTGCGCCACCAGTGGCTATTACCAATTATATCCCTTCTAAGCCTCTCCTATGGACCAATCAGATTCCACCTCTCGTATCACTTGTGTTTGCTTCACACAAAATGGTGGCACTCAGTCAGGACGATCTGATTGGTAATCAAGATCTACATTGTGATAAAACGGGTCTTACATCGCGAAATGCATCAAATCACGTGAGCACCTTGATTAAAAACATCAAAAGATTTGGAAAATATCTGCTGACAACGAGTTGGCAGTGCACATGCTTTGCAAATACTGCAATCGATCGAAATCTGCACGACAGTTTACAAACCGGATTTTGATTTCGGTGCGAGATTTTGATTGGACTATGCATAGACTCGTTAGTCCAGACAATATGTAACTCCATAATACCAGCCTAGTTCGGCAAGGGTGGAAACTAGACTTTTATAGTCAGTTTACACTCTTGCCTCGGGAAGATGCACTGTCCCCTATCTCAACGACCATAACACTGAATCTCTCCTACTACGTTACAGTAAAGTGTCAATGTCTTGAGTGTAAGCCTAGATACACGTCCTACACATAATTAGTGTATACA